TTGTCAGAGTCTTCCTACTGAGTATACCTCAATAGTACCATAATTCAATCTCAATAAGTACAGTAAATCAATTCCTTTATGAATATAGTTTTTAGAAGTTTTTTCTTTCTGATTTACATAAAATTCATTAATAAGCTACCATATATCAATAGATCAAAATAGGCTTCAAATATGTAATATCAGTAAGAGTTGAACATCAACCTTTGAAATTAATTCTTGGTATTTATAACCCCTTACCGTTACTTATTACCAGCATTACATGGGTGTACCCAGAGTGGTACAGGGTATAAATACTTTGTACTATAGAAACAAAATTTTCTTTTAACAACAGTATACTGCTTGAAGTTACTGTGCCCTATAGATAGTTACTAGTTGGCAACAAACTGTTCACTATTCATCCTAAGAGCTATTATGTAAAAAACTATCTCAAAATGGAAGTGGTCCATTTTAGCTTGTGCAACCATTTTGAAATAGACTATTCATGAAGGATTCCACTTCCACCAAATACAGCCTTCTATATTAGATGTAGTATAAATATTATACATGTAAATCATAATATTAAGTTATGTAAAATCTAATCCTTACTTCTACCATCTGACTAATAATACTCTTGAAGTCATGTTTATGCTATTTAGCTAGAAGCTTTCTCTATTCTTGGCTACAAGGATTCTTCTTTGATGAGCCTAGATTTGATTTAGGCAGAAGCAGTTTGTATTTCTCATAATTTTAACCAATAGATTCTATATACTAGTAGTTTATATAAAAACAATAAATGTGATTGGATAAAAATAACAATATAATGACTAGTAAAACTCAGGGTAGAACATAATTTATTGCTAGTTGCTTCCTTCCCGGCCCTCCTTCCTGTCAATTCATGGCAAATATTGAGCGTGCTCTCAAGTGCCACCACCAACTTTGAACTTCTTAGCCTCTGTATTAAATGGCAAGGAAAAGTAATAGTAAGTTAACCATTTCTGTGTGCCGGGCTTACGAGCACCGGCAGGATTAATCTAGGCTTTTTCCCACCTTTTTTCACTTGAATACCCCTTGTGTGCTGTACTGGTATGATACTATGCATCGCGGCACAGTAGACTGTCATGCCTATGAAGGGGGTTTTCACGGCCGCAACGCGCAAAGCGGTGCCAAACCCCTACCCTGCAGTACTATTGGCGAGTGCTCGGGAAATTGGGTTTATGAGGAGCCGAAATCTCCACTATCATGGTCGACACGCTCCCGCCAAAGTTCCCGCGAGAAGTTTGAGCAAAATCATGGTTTGCATCGCTGCTGTTTGCTGTATGCGCTGTGGGGTATCGGTTGGGTGTGGCATCTCTCTCTTATCAGACCCCCTAGAAAGGAACTATCACCACCATCACGACTACCATACCGCCGTCACAAGATAATGGAGAAGAAAAGAATAAAATAAAATAAAAAAGTGAACAACAACCCCTCCCCCCCACACTACATCCCGTATCGGCCTCCTTGCGCAGCTCAACGGAAATGCAAAGCATCAGTCTCAGTCGTCCCGTAATCGGGCTCATACCTTTTTCCCTTCTATGGCAACGAGAACCAACTGCCATCGCGGAAACTGTGCTACGAGGAAGATTACCAAAAGGCCCAGTTTATCCGTTCACCTATTCATCATACCATATATGCTTCATCCACTTTGCTATCCTCTGTTTGGGGTACCGGCCTCGTGACTCAGTCCTGTATGGCAACATGTATCACATCAACTGACAACAGCCCAAGCCTTCCTCGTGCTGCAAGAGAAAATACGGACCCCACCCGTTCCCTACTGCCGCACCGTATCAACCGGCGACACTAGGAGCTGGGCGGGTGGATGGGGCCCGGCAGACTAACTACCGGTAGGTTTACAGGAAAGTTGCTTCATAGAATTGCATTCTTATGATAATTGGCCACGGGGCGCCTCCTCTACCAAGGCCTTTACTCCTCCCCTTGAAGGAGTGCCTTGTATCATATAGGCCTAATTTTGCCCTCGTGTCAAGCCACACTTCGTTTGGTCTACTTGGCTAGGTTTCCGGTGTCGGCAGCGAATACAGTACAAGGGGGGGGAAGGAAGTAGTGCGACACCATTGCAACCGCCTTTTGCACGATCACACTTCCACTACCAACCCCTCTCCTCCGATACTGACAGAGTCCCTCACAGCCTGTCAGAAAAATTCTGGAAGGCAATATGCGGGTAAAGGGAACCCGGAGCAGAGAGCGTAAGTAGTCTAGTTAAATAACTATGTACATATGATTAAGATAATAAAAAAATAAAATAATTTAGCGATCAATGAGTAAAATATTGAACGCCGACGATCGTTAACGAAGAAGAAGCAACGCTTC